AGGAGAAGGAGAAGGAGAAGGAGAAAGGAGGAGGAGGAGGAGGGGGAGGAGGAGAAGGGGGAGGAGGAAGGAGTAAACACAGAGTCACTATAACAAAAATAATTGGCTGACACAAAAGAATTTCATGAAACAACATATGACTAAGAGACAATGGCAATGAAGGAGTAAGTTCAAGCTGCTCTAAAAGAATTGGCAAAAAGGCCCCAGGAATTTATGGGATAACAACCGGCATATTTCAAGAAAATGATGTGCTCACCAGGTTGTGCCTGGTGTACAGTCTGGAGGACAATAACCTGGCCAACGGACTGGAAGAGATCAATATTTATTCCATTTTTTAAAAAAAGTGACCCAATAGGTGTGAAAATTATCAAACTTTACCACTAATATAACACACAAGCAAATTCTTATTTGAAGATTATCCAAAAACGACTGGAACAGTGCATTGACAGAGAACTACCAGAAATACAAGCTGGGTTCAGAAGACATTAACCATCAATGCCAGATGAATCTCGGCTGAAAGAAAAAAGTACCAGAGAAATGTTTATCTGTGTTTCATCAACTATGCAAAGGTATTTGACTGTGTGGATCACAACAAATTGTGGCTAACCTTGAGAAGAACGGGAATCTCAGAACACCTGATTGTGCTCATGAGAAACCTATATACTTGGATCAGGAAGCAGTCCCCAGAATAGAGCAAGGAAACAGTCCATGGTTCAAAATTGGGGGGAAAATGCATCAGGGATTCCTCCTGTCTCCACATATTTTCAATCTGTATACAGAGCAGATTATTCAGGAGGCTGGGCTTTAGGAGGAGGAATGTGGCATAAGGTTTGGAGCAAGACTCATCAACAACCTGCAATATGCAGATGGCACAATCTTGCTTGCTGAAACTGAGGAGGAACTGAAGCATTTGCTACAGGTCAAGGACTGTAGTCTTCAGTATGGATTGAAGCTCAACATCAAGAAGACAAATATTATAACCGTTGGGCCAATTAAAGCATCATGATAGACTGTGAAGAGATTGTGCTCAGCTCCACAATCAACACTCTTGGCACCAGCAGTGAAGCAATCAAAAGACAAATTGCATTAGGCAAGTCTGCTATCAGGGACCTATCCAAAGTCCTAAAGAATAATGATGTTAGTCTAGGCACTAAGGTGTGCCTGATCCAGGCCGTAGTCTTTGCAGTTACTTGCCATGCATCAGAGAGCTGAACAATGACTAAGGATGGGAGAAGAAGAATCAATGCCTTTGAGTTGTGGTGCTGGAGAAGAGTATTGAACATACCATAGACCACCAAGAAAACAAACAAGTCTGTCCTGGAGAAAGTGAAACTGAAGTTTCTCATTGGAGGGAAGGATTTTGAAGCTTTGTCTCACATACTTTGAATGCACGGCCAGGAAGGGCTAGTCCTTGAAGAAAGACGTCATTGTTGGAAGGGTGAAGGGACAGCACAAGAGAGGAAGACCCCAGGTGAGATGGGTTGACACATTAACGAGGGTAATGGGGATAGGCATGTTGGAGAGGGCTCATGATAGGTCATGGTTCAGAGCTATTGTACATAGGGTCACTATGAGTCACAAACAACTCGATGGCACACAATAACAACAACACATATTGAATGAAAATGGGGAACATATACACCCCTGACACACACATTTACTGATTTTTAAACCATGTAGTAATCCCTTGTTCTGTCCAAATAACTACTTCTAGTCCAAACAACTACACATCAACCTCTACCAACTACACACTGACATATAAGTCTATGGATAGGTTCTACATGAATATAATTAAGTGTTCTAGAATTCTCACTCTTTACAATATTATCTATGCTTTCCTATGAACCATGTAAAACACCTACCATTAATTATGTACTGATTTTGTGCCAGCTACTGAGGTAGACACTTGATATACAATATTGCATTGAAGATGCACGTTCTCCTTTGAGGCAGGATTGTTATCTCTAAATATCTGACAAGTAGACCCAGAGGGATAAGAACACGTTGCCTAAACCACACAGCTACGTGACAGAGTCAGGGCTGGAGCCCGGGTATCTGACTCCAGAGCCTGTACTCCTTTTTAGGACCAGCCTCAGATGATTCTAAAAGGTTGAATTTCCATATTTTAAACAAATGTTGGAGTATCAGAAACATCATTTGGTTCAACCTAATATTTTTCTTTGAGAATGTCCCTTCCACTTCCAGATATCTATTGCTTCCACAGATTCCAGGCCACTGGGTCTGACCAGCAGTGAACTTCCTCACCCTGGGCAGCCTAGAAAGATCTTCCTCTGTGGGGTAACTGTCTGCTCAGAAGCGGCCACACAGAACCAGCCCTGTCTGTGTGACCCTTTCAGCAGCTAATGAACACAGGTCACTAAGGAAAAAACAGCTTTGTGAAATAATCCTTGATCTGGGAAGCTGCCTGGTGTGAGCATGCAGCTTCATCAGAACGTTTATAGAAGGGAATTAATCATGAACCTTGTGAGAGCTCGGTAGAGCCATCAGTGTGGGGAGGGGTGAGGAAGGTGGCAGGTTTTTAGTGTGGGAGGGAAATGTTCACTTCAGCAATCAATGCTGGGCAGAATTCTGTGAATATCAATGGTCCAAACGCAGCCTGGACACTGAATGAGTTCACCAGCAGGCTAGAAAATGCACAAATATCTAGCTTCTGCAGCTGGAGGAAAGAAAAGTGACTGGTTTTCATTCATTCACTCATGCGTTTGACCCTGTGATGGGTGCTGGGACTGTTGAGGTGGTGATAGTACAGATAGGTCTCTGTCTTCACGGACTAACTGAAAAGACATTTAGAATCAAGCTCGGGGATTTCTAATCTGTTTACAACTTCCTGAGTTCCTCCTACTTCCCCTGACTTCTATAATACATGATCATTAACATTTATTGAGCAGTGAGTGTGTGCCAGGCACTGTACTACTCTCTCAATAAATTCTAACAATAGACCATCAAACCACCACTATACTGACATTGCAGACTGGAGAAGTAAGACTTAGAGCGGCAAAGGAACTTGCTTAGGTTCTCAAAGCTAGCAAGTGATGATCTAAAATCCAACCAGGTGAGTCTGCGCTCAGAGCCTGGTCTGTTTTCTTCTGCTATATATCATTCTCTCAGGAAGACAAATATTTCTGTATATGTGCCTTGACTATGCATTCTCATTATACCCACTGCCTGTGCTTACAGAATTCATCACAGCTGGAAAGAACCAATAATGTGTCATTTTTCTTTTGGATATCTGTCTTTCTGGTTACACTTTCCGATCTAAGAGCAAAATCTGGATCAGGCCAGTCCATGTGACAACCATGGTGCCCAACCAGGGCACTTACGTAAGACTTCAATCCCTAAGTGTCACCATTCTCCCATCCTCCTCCGCTCCAGA